AACCCTACACGACTACAGTCAGTCTTTAGATATGAATGCTCGTTTCTTTAGTTTCAACCAAATATTCGTTCACAGACTAAATAAAACAACTATTTAGAGTAACCTGGTGGCTGAGTGCGTCCGCGACTCGACAGAATGGGTGGTCGATTTCAAAATACATATCTTACAATACATGTACGGATACCAAAATCGAAGCCGATATAGTAACACGGTCTTGTCATATTGTTGTCATTACAGAGTTAAATGTTTTTTTTCACAGTTTTATTAACATGCATCGTTAAATTGTTAGTCATCTATGTACGTGGCATAAGAAAACACTTATTTGACTAAACCTATTTAAAACTACGGGGTATTTGTGACTTACATACGGAATAGTACGTGTAATTACGTGGCCAATTACTTAACTACATTTTTCAGCAGTTAATTACATCAAAACGTACTACAAAGAGTAAAATTAATTGTTTGTAACAACCAACTATTTATCAATAGAAACGGAAATGGACTACGTTGTGTAAGGTGACGTTACTGATGTGAAATGTTGCAAATGATACTCTCAAACTATGTTTACGTGTCTATTCGGAAAGGTACATTGAACACTGTACATTTCACTCAAGGGAATGCCCTGTCTATAATTCTGGTAAGTACTTCATTAATATTTAATACGTGTTTACTCCATTAAAAGGTTGATCATATGGTTCAATACTGTTGTTGAAACGTCGAATGACTTTTCTGTAAGCTCTACGGAGGTCACCATTGCAAGCGTATATAAAAGGCGAAGTAATACCGTATGTTAAAGTTATACATCTGCTAACGTACACCATCGTTATCAAATCACTAACTGAGAAATGTACGAATTCAAAAATTATTAAACGAACAATAAGTTGTGGTAACAACATAATTAAAAATAGCAAAACAATTTTAACACTTTCAGAAATAGATCGAATTTCACCTTTCGTCAACACTGGTGTTGCTACATTGGAATTGCCTAAATTAGCGATGCGATGATTCTGCTCTCGAACAACTGCAATGATTTTACCATTCGTATACAAGAGAACCATCAACACCAGCGTTATTAGTATTAAATAGAATATTTTCGCGGCCACTTCGGATATGTCCATTAACTGATCGATGAAACAGAATTCAGCTTTATTTCTCACGACTGGATAAAGTACAGTAATACAAGATATTACCCATGACAGAAGTATCGCTACTCGAATGTTTTCAGTTGTAAACATATTGAGATATGCAAATGGTGACATATATACACATATTTTTCAATTGACATTATAATAGTACCACAGCATAACTGCATCAGAATAATATTAACCGATGCCGTTATAAAAACTGTACATGTGAATCTTGTAAAATAACTAGGATCGACCAGAAAGACCAAATGTAACAGCCCAACGATACCAAGATTGGTGTTACCAGCGGCAAGATTCAACACAAACGAGTTGTGTATAGTGTAAAGTTTGTTATTCAATATGGTAATTATAATGAATAAATTTCCAAATATGGTACATAAAGACTCTAACGTGAGCACCACACCGAAGATGCTTCTTAACACATCAGACATATGGAGTTTAAATTCTTCAACATGGAAGGTAGAGTTAGTCATCTTCAGCGTTACTTTATTTTGTTGTAAAATCCAACGCTTCACACCTGTATACAAACTCTGATTACACATCAACACGTATCGTCGTTCGTATAAGTTCGTAGCAGTGTCCGTATTAAATCGGTTGCATTAAATAATGATGTCGATGAGTAAATTTTATCCAAGTGTATGTGGTAATTCGCCGACTGGGAAAGGAGTCAGTGGTTTGAAATTACGACCATCAATCCGGTTTATTGTCCGATGTGTCTGCAATTATTGAAAACGAATCGTTAGAAAAGTGGAAAATAAAGAACGTGGGGTTCTCGGTGACAATTCTGATTACAGAAAAGTAACTCTGATATAGTGTTTCAACGAATACGGTTTATAGTCCGTCGTTCAGATAACACCAGGCGTGAACACCCAAAGATAGACGACCCAAAAGACAAAGCGGGGATGTCAAAATATGATACTGGCCGCAGATGAAAGTAACATGGGTATACGAAAAATGCCTTTGATTATTTGTTTAACGCGTACACACACTGCATAACATATATTGTGTAAATAACACACATATTCGTAATATGAGGGCGACTAATTCAATATTCCTGTAGTGAAACGAGATAAGTAATTCAAATGAATCCTTCCATTAACACTAATCCGAATGATCTACGTAAATATATACTTTACCTTGTCACTGCTGAGAAGTGTCATGTCACAGTTATCGAGCAAACTTTGCAAGAAATGCTGGCATTGGAAAGATTTATCCCATATGACAAGATTGTTATATAACTGAAACGTCATGATCGTGGCCAATTAAACAACTGATTTGTTGAAGTTGAAGTGTTGAACAATAAATCCATGAAATACGGGATCGTTTTTAATCATCTAAAGAATCCTTATATTCGAACTAGAGGCGTCTATATATGTGGACAATAGAATCGCAATATTTTTGGTTATTAGCAAGACGGATATAGCTTTGGGGAGTTTACACGCGCGTACTAATAAATACTCTACCCTAATTACTCTATTTACCCTAAACACTCGACTTAACGACCAAAATGGCCCAAAGCGAGGAAACTTCTCAAACGATTTTAAAGACATTGATGTCTTGGAAAGCATTAATAATCATAAAGAGTTCACGAGTATTTCAGTCACGATATAACAATCTTCGGATGAGAAAATGCAAATAGTTTGAGGAAAGAAAATTGCTAAAACATATAAACTTTTACATTTTTGTAGATATCCCGATTATTTCTAGTTTCTCACTACTCTCTTATAAGATAGGCGCAGTACCATTACCTTGAAGACTAGATTGTTGTTAACAGCTGTGATTCGTATGGATTATTACTACTATTGACTATGGAACTACTATTGACAACATATTCTAAGATGATACTCTTTCATATTCCGGTATTCTTGAATTTCCTAATCTTTATTATCCACACATTAATAAAATTTCTCCAATTGATAACATCGGATATTCAAACAGGTTCAACACATCGTGTTTTTTTATTAATCTGCGCCACCATAGAGCGTGTTCGCAACTTCTTATTCAGTTAATTGTTCATATTTGATATACAAAGTCGAATGGATCGGGAGTAAACGTGGTTTCCTATAGGTTTACACAAACTAATGTTTAAT